AACTGCATAGATGGACACAAAAAAAGTCAAGCAAACCAAACACCACAAAGCAAATCCAGAACAACAAAATCACAGTTTAACAATAAAGAACCCACAAAGCAGCGAGGCTGTAAGTTTCTGGTATCCTCGGGCTAACAACTATACAGGTTCCAGAGGAGCTCGAACAGGAATATTCACCGGCTGTACAACAAAAACAAAATCAATTCACAATTTATGATCAAGCAGAATGGAAAAGAGTTAAAATACACACCTATCAAACGACCAACCATGAGCCCCCCAACTCCAATGATCACTGGCTCAATGGAGTCCGCCTGAATCAAAGCAGGTCGATCAAGGACTGCAGTCAGTTCATTCCAAAGCGTGATCGACACCCTCTGGCCCCTGATAGTAAAACAAAGGATCAGATCTTACGTGAAGGTGACGAAACAGTATTCCCCAGTGCAAAAATAAAATCACAGAAAGACCTACTGTGCATTCTCAAGGACCAAAACTTGTTTTGGAGTCGAGCCGTGATTAGTAACCTGATGATCAATCCCGCTAATAGAATGAAGACGGCCGACAACATCTGACCGAAAAAAAAGAGCAGTAAGAAGACATAAAACCCAATCCAATTCAATCAAGAAAACGCAATAATCACCTGCAAGGATACGATTGTCCCCTGAACGGTTAGACAGCTCACTATAAGGAACAACCTCATAGGAATCAGTTGGAAATTCAGCTGCAGGCAGAGAACAGGCCTGGAAAATAGTTGTTGCTGACAACTCTATTATCAGATCAAATGAGCAAGCACGATAGAGATTCCTTGCGGCACTGAGACCGAAAGACCTAAGAACGTAGATAACTCCCAAGCGCAGCACACGCTCAAATTCAGACCCAATAGAGACATCAGCCAGGCTCTGAATGAGCATACCCTAAATAAAAACAAAGAAAGGCAGTCAAGAAAGAGCAAAGAAGGAAAAAAAGAGAGCAAAAAAACAGAAAGCATTGCAATCACAAAGAATCAGCGTAAGAGAATCACCGTCTGATCCACCCAGAGGCAACAGTGATTAAACACCCTTGTCCCAGAAGGATTCTTGGCAAACCACATATGGAGCAGACGAAGCCTCAGAGTCACCTCTCTGATACCTCCTTTGAGATTGCAGAGCAGAGTAGCATCCATGGTGAGGAAAAAGGCGAGAAAACAACGACTGAACCACAGAGAACAAAGAGGGGAGAAGAAAAAGAAGGACATGCGTTCCGAGAATGAGTCCTCTTGTGCAAAAAGAATGAGAAATACCCTTCTCCACCTGAGCGCACGCATCGAGGCACTGAATGACATGTACAGAGCTGGAAGCAGTAAACTGTTTGACACCCTCCCGCCCTCAGGTGAATAACCGGTATCAATCAGTTGTCCACCATTCCCAAAGCACCTCCAACCCCAGCCAATCAGCCGCCAAGTTTCTCCAACACAGTCCTGCGAACAACAGCCCAACACGACCCTCTAGGAATCCCTAACAGACACAATCATATCACGCCAAATCCCACGCCAGATCCCAATGAGGCCTCACCCAACTCCAGCCCACACTGAAGGACACGGCAGTTTGAAACAGTAAATCTCAGTCACAATGGACAGTAAAAGGTGTCTGTGTGTACAGTGCCAAGGGCTGCGGTGGGTTTCTTTCTTTCAATTTGGGCCGGATTTCAAAATGCATGAAGATGGGCAGTTATTTCTAAATTCAGATAATGTCGATTTTTAAAATCTTTCGTGTCCGAAATAACTCAGTGTTGAATGTCTTTCCAAACGAGAAATTGTGCCACAATTCCTCACTACAATAGCCCACCCAAACAATAAGAGTTTGCATCCTAACCTATTCCTGTTTAAATTTGCTAAGAAGGTTTGGTAACATCTCTTTAATCCCACCCGCATGCATATTGTAGTTTAAGTGTGTCATCCAAACAGAGTGCTTTGTGGAAGTCCCAACAGAGTGCACACTCTTCTGATTGATTGCGTATTGTTCCTATTGTTGGGTTGGGCCAGACTATGAATGGGGACATATCGTAGTGTGCTTAGTTATCGACTGGGTGTCCCGTTATTTTTGGTATCTAGACCTTGTTCTGCTTGTTCCTGTATCTTTGATGGTGATGTCTTTGGGGATCATGTTGTGTCCTGTGCTGGTAATGTGGGCTTAAGCATCGACATAACCTCGTTACACCTTACTGGACATATGTTATAGGTCTGGGAATTCTATCAGAAGGGAGGTTGATATCAGTTTGGTTGATGGGCATGGCGGACCCCCTTCATCCTGCGGATTTGCTGCTTTATTCCTGGGGCAGGGGGGCGAGATTTGTGTATTGATTTTACTGGGTCTTCCCCTTTGACTCAGGCTGGGATGATCAGTTTTGTGCCGAGCCGAGTTGTTGTTGATGCTGCTCAACGAAAGTGTGCCAAGTATCGGGACTTGTGCATGACAGCTGGTTACGAGTTCCTGCCATTTTCTTTCTCTTCGCTGGGGGGAGTTAGATACAGAGGTTGTGGCTTTGCTTAAGCGCGTCTAAAAAATCTCTGTGTCTCATGATGCAGGGACTCGGGCGGCCGTGTACATTTTTATTAGACTCAGCTTTGCTATCACTAAGGGGGTGGGAGCCCAAACTGTATCTAGACTGCCTACTAATTATCTATAGACCTTTGTTTGATATAATCTGTATTTCAGATTATTGTTATACAAAAAAACAACAAATGAAAGAAACAAAAATCACAAAGACCAAACCATTTTCGAAAGGCTAAATTACACGTTTGGTCACTCAAATTATACAAATCTTTCACATTTGCCACTCGAATTGCTTTTCTTTCTTATTCGCCACTAACTTTACGAATCGTTTCACATTAGTCACCGGCCGTTACACTCCGTTAAATTTATCCTACGTGGCAGTCAACTATAAAGTTTGACCGTTAACTCGATGACGTGGAAATTAAAAAATAAAAAAAAAGTAAATTTATTTTTCCACCTCATCACCCCCCTTAGTTTGTTAAACGCACGGAAGCATCTCGATACCTCGACGGAAGCACCTGGCTGCTCCTCCCTCTCTTCGATTTCGATCCCGCCATTGCCGGCTGCCGCCTCCGTCCTCATCTCATTCTTGTCCCTGTACAAATCCACCACCCAACACTTGTTCCTTCTCTTCCTCTTTGTCCCCCGCAACGCAATTCGTCCACCGCCGCTTCCCATAATCGACGGCGAATGAGGCTCTGACTCGTCCTCTGTCTCCTCCGCGGCAGTCGTCGGCATCTCATTCGGATCCCAACTGGTCGACGACAACAATCGTCACCGGAAGCAAGCTCCGCAGCTTTAATCAGGACCGTAAGCCGACTGTCGTTTTGTAGTTCTTTCTCTTCCTCCCCACCTCCTTTTTTGTCGCCGTCTTCGTCACCAATTCTGTTAATGCTGATCCCTCTGCTTTCGTTGATTCACAGACTCATAGCTTTCAGAGCCTCTACTGGCGGAGAAAAATCACCGTCGTCGCCGTCCTTATTGCTAATTGGATCGAACTCACCCTCAGAGCTCTTCCGATCAACAACCGCCGTTGAATCACCACTACCAGCACTCACTGCCTCGTTTACCTTTCCCCCACCGCCTAATAAGCAAGGATTGAATTCCCTATTCAAATCAATACCCAACCCACGGTTTACACGAGACAGATTCATTTCTGATTCTACCTCAGGACTCACCGCCGAGGACGACGAGGATCCTTGATTCGAAGAGGCCGTAGTTTCTCCCGCCGACGGTGGCGGTCAAAAAAGAAAGAAACTTGACGATTTGGAGAGGAATCACGTACATGATCCCGAAATCGATACAACGCCATGAAAAATGAGAGAAATCGCCTCTGTTTTCTTTCTGCTCGCTCTCTGTTTCCGCCGCGCTCTGTATTTTCTTCTCCGGTCCCGTTTCTTTCTTTCTTTTTCGTTGTCTGTCTTTTTGACGACTTTTGACCTAGAATTGCCTTCCTTTGGTTCCCTTCCTAGAAGTTGCCTTCTTCTGTTGCCTTGGAAATATTCCGGTTGCGAGTGATGCCGTCTAGGAGAGCTGAGACTGTCGGTGGCAGGGGGAAGGAATTGATAAGAGAGAATACGTAATTAGTGACGGAGAGCGGTGCGGTTGCTTGTGGAAGTGGTGCTGGAGATCTGAGACACTGATAGATCTTTGTGTTCGGGCAGAATCCGCTCCTCGAATCGATTGGCGACGAAGCGTTAGAGTTTCGCGACATCGGGGAAGGCATTGTGGAAATGGAGCGAGTAATTGATTCTTTAGCCGGCGAAATGCACGAAGTGTCCTAGCAGAAGATGAAAAGCCGACGTGGCAGAGACTGGTACCAATTTGTCGTCTCGATTGCTTTTGTCCTCATCGTCGTAACGCGTAAGTTTAGGCAATATTTTTGTCGACGAGAACGGAGGACGTTGCTGAAACTCATTATCGCCGTACCGACCGTCAATAACTCTGAGAACATGGACCTGGCGGTGATACCTTGCCTCTGCAATTTCTTCCTGCCGTTGATAAGTAATTTTTATAATTTTTTTTATTAAATAATTCATACAATAAATCAGACAAATTAAGTGAAATGATGAGGTGGAAAATAATATTTTTCATTTTTTAATTTCCACGTCATCGAGTTAACAGTCAAACTTTATGGTTGACTGCCACGTAGAATAAATTTAATGGAGTGTAACGGCCGGTGACTAACGTGAAACGATTCGTAAAGTTAGTGGCGAATAAGAAAGAAAAGCAATTCGAGTGGCAAATATGAAAGATTTGTATAATTTGAGTGATCAAACGTGTAATTTAGCCATTTTCGAAACACCAAAGGGAATTCCTCAAATGGATCTGAAAGTAGGTTGTAGAAAGTTCAGGGACCAAAAAATCAACTGCACTAACACTGAAGTATCTGATATCAAAATTTCCTAACGGTAATGTAACAAAATCTCTTATGTTCCGGATAGAAAGGCCCTTCCCAGTTCCCACTTATCCACAGCTCACAATCTATCAAATTTCCACACTGCTTCTCACTCACTCCCACAAAAATGGCGGCTTTCTTTTCCTTCTCCAGTTCACTTCTTCCCCCCTCAAAACCCTTCTTCTCTTCGTCTCCCTTGAATTCCCAATCAATCCCCTTTAGGAAAACCCCCTTCTTGTCTCCAACCACCCCCCTCGCAGCCCTCACATCGACGGCGGAGGCGCCGCCGGCCATCGCGACCTTCTGGGAATGGCTGAGCGAGCGAGGCGTGATCTCCGGCAAGACCCCGGTGAGACCCGGCATGGGCGCTGAAGGTCTGGGCCTGGTAGCGCGAAGGGATATCGGGCGAAACGAGGTCGTATTGGAAGTGCCCAAGAAGCTCTGGATCAATCCGGAATCCGTGGCGGGTTCCGAAATTGGGGGAATCTGCGGCGGGCTGAAGCCGTGGATCTCCGTCGCTCTGTTCTTAATTAGAGAGAAGTCGAAGAAGGAACGCTCGGATTTGAAGGCTTACTTGGATGTGCTCCCCGAGACCACCGATTCCACTATATTTTGGTGGGTTCTCGGGTCATGACCCGGATTTTGTTCCACCGGTGTTTATGTAGTTGATTGATTGATAATTTGTGGGTTGATGAAACTTGTTTGTTTCTTTCTTGTGGAATTCAGTGCAGGTCAGAAAAGGAGCTTGTAGAACTTCAAGGTTGGTTTGCCATTTTCTGTGCTTTCTATGATTTTCATGAAATTTTTCATGTCTTCATACATTGCGTTAATGGCACTTCTCTAGGAACTCAACTGCTGAGCACAACTACAGGAGTAAAGCAATACTTGCAGAGGGAGTTTCAGAGAGTTGAAGAAGAGATTTTAGAACCTAATTCGCAGCTGTTTCCTTCCCCTGTGACACTGGAAGATTTCACCTGGGCATTTGGAATCCTCAGATCAAGAGCATTCTCTAGGCTTCGCGGCGAAAATCTTGTTCTCATTCCTCTTGCAGACTTGGTAAGCCCTTTGTTTCTTCTCTGGGGGGATGAAAAAAAAAATCTACTGTTGAGAATAGCCCCTTTTCCCTGAACATGAAGTTGATGGTTGGTTACTGTGATATGCTTTCTGGAATATCTATAGGTGAATCACAGCCCTGATATAACAACTGAAGATTATGCATATGAGATTAAAGGCGGTGGTCTTTTCTCCCGAGATCTCTTGTTTTCTTTGAGATCCCCAGTCTCGGTCAAGGCTGGTGAGCAGGTAAAGCTATTTCCAGCTTCAAATTATGGCTAAGAATGGGCTGCTGATGGATCCAAATGTATGCATTTTTGCTTCCTTGTTCAAATGGCTATCTTGTGAACCGTTTGTGAAGCCAAATCCGCTCACATCTTCTCATGCATAAACACTTGATGAAACTGTAGAACACCTTGAATTGTTAGGTAGTTTGTGTTGACTAGAGTTTCCTGGGGCGTTTTGATTCAACAGGTTCTGATTCAGTATGATCTAAACAAGAGTAATGCAGAATTAGCTTTAGACTATGGATTCATAGAGTCAAAAGCCGACCGCAATGTCTATACCTTGACCCTTCAGATCTCCGAATCAGATCAGTTCGCTGGAGACAAGCTCGACATTGCTGAGACAAACGGCTTGGGTGAGACAGCAGAGTTCGACATAATCTTAGGCTATCCTCTACCAGCTAAACTGCTTCCATACTTGCGCCTTGTTGCGCTTGGAGGCACAGATGCTTTCCTATTGGAATCTATCTTCAGCAACACGATCTGGGGCCATCTTGAATTGCCTGTAAGCCGTGCCAATGAGGAGCTTGTATGCCGGGTGGTTCGAGATGCCTGCAAAACTGCTCTTTCTGGGTATCAGACAACCATTGAAGAGGTGAGATCTCTCTTACATGTCCCTTGAGGATCTTTAGCATTTTTCTGGTACCAATAACCTAATTGGGAGGGAAAATGTTACCAGGATGAGAAGTTGATGGAAGGGGAAGGTTTGAGTGCAAGGCTTGGTATTGCAGTGGGAGTAAGAGCGGGAGAGAAGAAGGTTTTGCAGCAAATTGACGAGTTTTTCAAGCAACGAGAGGAAGAGCTGGACGAGATTGAATACTACCAAGAAAGAAGGCTCAAGGATCTTGGTCTGGTTGGAGAACAAGGTGACATCATCTTCTGGGAGTAGTTCCATATATAAGAGAAACAGCAGATCAATTTGAGAATCCACAATATAGAGGCATTTAAGGGCATTATTTGTCAGAAGAGCCTCTGATTAATCAGAGAAAGCATTAACATGTGACAGCCAAAGTCAATGTATGTATTGCTGGAGGAAATGTTCTTTCTTTGATGTGGGCAGTGTGACTACTACAAGAGGCTTACAGCCAAATGTTCTTGAGCTGGAAAATGAGAATGCTACACTTGCAACTTCGAAACCGTGAGATTATCTAACACTCAGTGATCTTCACCAGGAAGAAAAGGGGGGAAAACAAAAGGAATAGATAACTATCGACAAAGGTGAAAAAGAAACTAAATGGGGATCACCTTTTTCTTGCTGTTTCTTACAAAGGGCCTGAACTTGTGTGTATAACCTTCTGAGTCTCATTGCGGTCATTAAAGCCACCAACCGCCTGTGCATAACATTGAGGGGGGCACCTCACTTCCTTTGTGAGCTTCCCTCCTAGCTATGTGTCATGAGCTACAACACTTATGCCATGCCATCAACATCAAGGGACGGAACTGGAGTTGGATTTACCACTGCCAAGTAGGTCATCACAATTTGTTGTTCCCTCACAAAGACACTCTACAGGGTTTGAGTAGAAGTAATCCTCCTCCTTTGGCTTGTCTGGGATGACCCTGCGGCGAATTGGCTGCCCCATTCTTTTCTCGTGTGCTTCCCTGACAGCGACTGTAAATTCATTCCATGGAAGTGTACCATTCTGGTGCAAATTCAGTAGCTGTACGAGTTTTCTCCGGTCAAGCAGAATTGTCTTTCTGAATCCAAGATACCTACACCAAGCTCTCTAGTCAGAAACCATGTATGGGGTCTGTTTGTTTTAGCCAAAAAATAACAACATAGAAAATAGTCGACTTAAGAGCTACAGCAAACTTTACACTCTAATCTAACTTTTAACCATAAATCTCAAAACTCTTTAAAAGCAGAATCTCCTAGAAAACTTTCTTCATTTCTGCAAAATCTTAAAAGAAAATCTTTCTGCAAAATTCAAACGAGCACACCCTTGGTGAAAGAATATGTTCCCTTTAGTAACGAGAAGAATGACATTCACCAGTGACCATGTACCTGCGATGTCCTTCGACAACTTTTGCCATGTTTCCGTCATACGTAGGAACGAAAGTATTGCTAGCTACTGAGACCATAAAATCCAGGGCAGCCATTTGAGATGAATGATTCTGGAACTGCTGCAGCTCCAATGGATCCAATAATGTTTCCTTTCTCACCTGAAACACATCTGTGAGGCCAAGATTTCCGAGATATAATAGTCTATATGTAAGAAGTCCAGCACTAAGAAACTCACAATACGAGGGAAAGCAGCTCTTAGTGCTGCAAGCCTACGTTCACTGCCATATATTTCACCAGCTGCTACATATATCTGAGTTTCCTTGTCAACCCCTAATGCTTGTAAAACTAATGCTGCTTCTTCTGGAGTTAGAGGGCATAAACCTTGGGATCTTCTCTCCTCAGAGTTTATCTCTTTTTCTCTCCACCAAGGGTATGCATACCTGATTCAGAAGCACAACACATTGAATAAACTTGAGACCACCCATCAACAGGTTGAGAAATATGATCATATCAACCAAGGCGTTGAAGGGTAGGTGATTGTTTCAACTCTTAGATGCATAATTGCATAAATAAACTCTGAGAACACAGACCGTTCAAAATACTACATATCAAGTTATGAAATCAGTCAGGATATCAAAGTGGGAAAGCAAGAGACGCCATTTTGAGATGTTTTTTTCCCACTTAGTGCAAGACCACTCTTGTTTATGTTTTAGTTTTCCTCTCATCGTGAACTCATAGCAGCTATTCAATATAGTCCAGTATTTTCTTGTAAGGGTTTGGAAGCAATATGATAAAGACTGCAAACCTTAGCCGTTTGAGTTCTTCAGCTTCTTCCTGTGTACAGCCATGAGTGCAACCAGAGAAAGCCAACATGTCCATCTCATATCTTAGATGCAAAGCCATATAAGGTCCCCTTTCATGAATAATCTGTACCAATTTGTGGCCCAAACTCTCAATTTGAGGAGTGAATTTTAGTGCCTGGAAATTAACACGGCACCGGAGCTTCTGAAGTTCAAGTGGAATCATGTTGTTAGCCAAGCGTGCATCTGTCCGATTAAAGTGCAACACCTTTGACTTGTTGAAAAGTGGCAAAATCTGTGGCGCAAGAATCAAAGGAAAGTCCAAAGACAAGGGAAAGGTAAACTTAGGAATATTACACGGCCACAATGTACAGCTTATAGTGCCATCATAAGCCAGAAATGAAAGCTAGGAAGAAGTGATCAAACCTGCTGTATGTAGTATTTTTCATTTGACCAGCTAACAGGTGGCATCTCCAATACTCTATGTCTATACTTCTTACTAATCCTCTTTGGAAGTCTTCTAACAATTCGAATTTCGTCCCTCAGTGAGTCGATGAAATGTCTCACGTCAAAGATGTCTTCAAAATCACTGTGGGGGAAAATATGAAAGTCAAACCATTTAGCCTTAGGAGAACAGAGGAGAAGAACCCACATCAGAATTCATAGAGGAAAACAAATATACCTGGGGTCAGCCCAAAAAGATGTTTTATCAAGCTCTGGAACAACCAAAGTAAGGTTCAATAGCCGAGCAACAGCCACCATGTCACAAATCTAGAATATGGCATTCAACTCAGGTTAATGATCTAAAGAGATATGGAGCACGTAAGTAACAACAGAGGTAAGACTACACACCGCTGAGCGCATTTGATTCAAACCTCCATTGCAGGACACCTTAAGGAAACCATTACTGGTATAATTTCCTGCAACATTTTGTTAGTGACTAACATCAATATTGTCTTTGGTGGATGATGAACACAAATCCTAGCAATAAAGAGATTTGCATTGCCATTTGGGATAATTGAAAAACAGGACTACATGGTTGATACACCGAGTATTTGACTAGTAAGAGACAGATGCAGCATGGTTAAGGTGACTTATCCTTTAAATTATCCTTGGAGTAATCAACCTAAATTCCTGGTCATTCATTCACAACTAAGCTACTGTTCAGAATGTAATGGCACCACCAACTCTGGAATCCTTCAGCGAGAAGCCACATAACAGGCACCAGTGAAAAAGAAAGATCATTGAATCAGAAGAAAGTTCGATCAAGTTGAGAGGTAGGTAGGCAGCTCCCAATGAAAGGAATCCAAATGTGAGCCATTAAGAACCCCAGGAACCGGCAATGGACACTGACAAGCAAATGCTACACTCCAAGCTTGGACTAAAGCACAAGGGAAGAGAGACAGAAAGCAAGAAAGAAAGAAACAGTCGCGTTGGATAAAAGATCACAAGGTTCCAACCTACACTAGTTGATACTGTCTCAGTCAACTCCAACTGCTCTTAAATTTTTTTAAAAGTATATCTGAAGCCATGAATATTAAATGTTCAAACTTGCAGCAGCACCTTATCCACCCTAATAAAATCGCCGGAATTCCCACACCATTCCAACAATCACAGACGAAGAAGGAAGAATTAGCGGGAAAAGCAAAGGAGGGAAAGCAGACTCACTGGGCGGAGGAAGAGGAGGCGGTGGCCGGACGGCAACTTGGACGTGTAGAGGGCCGGCGGTGTGAGAGAACCTAGTAGTCAAATTAGTAATGAAACGTGGGCGCCAGAGCTCCCCAACCGCCACCAACTGAACCAAGCAAGTCCATACGAGAATACTGGAGCAAACCCTTATGAACCACACCTGCAACCGTGTCCTGGGGATCACTGGACTCGACCCACCAAGCTTCTCCGACCTCAACCCGATGCTCTCAGATCTAGTCTCCATTCCTCTCTTCCTCTCCTCATCGCCGCTTCATCGAAGAAATATTGATTTTTTCCCTTATGGGCACAAAAATAGGGCTCGGGCTCGCTTCAAACCAGTTCAATTCCCTCGAGAGCGGAATCCCTAAGAAATCAACGGCATTGCCCAAATCGCCCCATCAAACCACAAAGATCCCATTTTTTTCAGCGGAAATCACGAACCAAGACGAGAGAGCAGCTCCTTCGTGGACTGGGAGCCGAACCCAGAAATGTGAATCGAAGCAATTGAAGGATCAAACCTTTGAATTTGATCACGGGACTGGAATGGTGAGCGGCCGCGCGGAGTAAAGGAGGCCGGTAACGCGAGAGAGATACTCACGAGAAGGTATAAGAAGGAAAAATGGGGAGAGAATGATTAATCTCAGGATGCAAACAGAAAATCAAGAAGTTTCTTTTCCAGGGGAAATCCTCTCCTCGTCTTTACTCTCTGTATCGGTTGCAGAACAAGGTGAGGAAAAATTAAATTGAAAATAACTGTCGAAAAAGCTACGAAATTTTCAGAAAGTGGGGAATTGTTTGCTTATTTGGGATTTGGAGGCAATTGGGTTTTGAGTAGTTTATGATGAATTGATGATTCAATTATCTCTCGCTCGGTCCTATCAATGCAAATGTGAACTCCGAGAAGCTAAACCCCAGATTGAATTGCTAACATTAATAAGATAATAATACTTTTAACTTTAAAATTGACAGTTTCTTTGTATATAATTAAAAAATAAAAAGACTAGAGTAGTACATGGAGATTTCCGAGTAGAAGAAAATCAGGCTTAGTCGGAAACCTGTTGATTACTTGTCCTAATCTGCTGAGATTTGTGATTTCTTAGTCTTTATAGGTTTATTGAATAAATAATCTAATAAGTATCCACAAAAGGGAAAACAGGTATAGGAAGAAAAAAAATGCATGATTTTTTCCTCGATATATGGGTACGTTTAGTGGAGAAATTTTACAATGCTACATAGTATTGGTGCTATAGGTTTTTGCCTTTATGGTACAACTTAAAATTGTACATTTATGTTATGGTACAACTTCAGATTGTACCTATACTTTTTGTACAAATTCTTTTATGGTACAACTTGAAGTTGTACCATCATGTGATGGTACAACTTCAAGTTGTAAAGTTGTACCATAACATAATGGTACAAATTGCTTTATGGTACAACCTAAACTTATACATTTAATGTTATGGTACAACTTTAAGTTGTACATTAAAGCACCAATACTATATAGCGTAGTAGAAGTGCTCACGTTTAGTGATTAACATTAGTAATTGATGATTCCCTACCGGTACGGTACTAAGTGAGTCCAGAAAATTCAGATCTAAGAGTTGTCAATTAAAGACATTTTTTTTCTCTAGTTTTTTTAATCGGTTATTATTTTCTCTAGTGGTAACTTCTTCGTTTTTAAGTCATTTTTGAAAACGTTTTCTCAGAAAGAACGAGTTCATCATGATTGGATCTATAAATTTCTAGGTGAAAAAAATACTGGATCAAAAATTACCATACTTTACCACTATGGTATGTGGGTGGTAACTTGTGGTAAACAATGATGAAAGCCGTAAATGACAGTTAGTATACTCCTACTATCATGTATTCAACTTTCTTACCATATTGGTATGTTCATACCATCATGGTACGCTTTCTTACCATATGGTATTAAATAGGAGCATACCATATGGTAATGACTGGTATAAAATTATTCAAGTGGAATATACTCTGACTAGGCCACATTTGAGAAGACTATTAGCAAACAAACAACCAAAAGAAGAAGTTGTTTGCAAAGTATCAAGAGACTTTCTACAAGGATGATTTTTTTTTTACAAAGGATTTACTTGTATTGCTCTTTGAAAGAAAAGTTACAAGGGAAGCCAAACAAAGAAGCCCATAAAAGATCAAGGCAAGCCAAACACAAGCACACGATTGTACAATCTGTGTTAAAGAAATACAAAAAGAGAAGAACAGAACACAGAAAAGAACAACCCAAAACATCAACAACACTTGAATCAGATCCAGAAGACACCGAAAGCTCCCTTGCAAACAAACCAATCAAAGAGCACCAAGCAAAATCAGCTCGTCCGATCCGACCGAGTCCTTGACAATTGAATACATCGCCAAAGGCCGCCTCCTGGGAGTCGCTCGAAGACGCTCAACACAGTGAATCTCTTGTGAGGGATTACATGGCGGTGGAAAGGGTAGAGGATCGAAATGCTCCGAGCTGAAAAAACAGAGGAAGACGAGGCACCAAGAACTTGGTCAAGGGAGAAGAGGAACCCAAACTCCAAAATCCAAGGTCTGAAACCGCAGTCAGAAGGGCCAGACACCTCCTTCCTTCCACCGACGCCGACCAAGAGGCAGATGACTACCAACAGGGGGAACGGAGGGGAAAACAATGAATCGATTCACCATGCATGTTGATGAACCCACCATCTAAAGAGGAGACCTCTAGATGCATAACCCAGCACCGAGGAGAGCAAATCCAGAAAGGAACCCTAGAAAAGGGCAACGAAAGGCCATAAAGGCAGGAGAAGCTAAAAAGCTGGAAAATCCGATTGAAAAAGGCCAAACCAGTGGCAAGGAAGCATAAAAAGCTCGGAAGAGGAAAGAAAATTGGGCTACCGCCGGTCACCAAGAGGTGCCGGCGGCAACCCCTGCAAAGACCCAAGCAGAGGGGCTGGAGGAGAAGAGAGAAGACAGAGCAAAAATTTGAAAAAAAGTAAGAGAGAGAAGGAAGAGTTTGAGGGAGACTTCCCTATCTACAAGGATGTTGAGAGGGCCTTGTTTATACTATAACAAAGGCGGTCCATTGTGAGAGGGTCGGGTCGTTTATGGGACATTCAAACACTTGTTGAGATTATGTTACTTATATTATTTTTTCAATAGGGTAAATATAATATAATAGTCAAACCTTTCGTTTTGAATAATATAATAGCCTAATCTTTTCAAAAACAATTTAATAGTCAAATCGTCAACTTTCTGTCTATTTAACCGTTAGTTGACTCGGCAAAAATTAAGTGAGCTGGATGTTCTTTTGTTGATGTGGCTAATGACTTAAAGGTTTAACATGTCACATGTATATTTATATTATTTTCACTACTTAATTGTTTATTTTTAAAATCAGATAAATAAAATTAAACTAGGTAAATCCTTATCCGTTCTCTCTCTATTCAAACTAAAAAATCCATCCATCCGATCGAATCCCTCTCCAACGAAGCCCTACCCGTCACCCAATACTGTACGAAGTCCAAACTCCCGCCAGTGTCGTCGGCCGCTGCCACTCCAAAGTTGCCTCATTAACTCCCATCTCATGTGGGCGCCCATTTGGAAAAACTGTTAATGCGGCGATGGGCGTCAAAATTAGGTAACAAAAAATGGAAGAAACGCATTAAAGAAGCGATGAGGATGCAGGCAACCTCAAAGATGGGTGTTGAGGTTACTTGTTTCTTAGTCTCCAAGTAACCGAATCATTGTTGGACTTTAATTAAGAGTCATAGTTGTATTGGGTCTTGAGTTTGCCAACAAGAAAGGCACTCGGTCGTCCTTAGGCTTTTCCCTAAGCAAGTCATTATATAAGCTTAGTTGCGGATCATTGTTGCAAGCAAGCTAGAAAAGAAACAAATCATCAATAATATCATCAGTCGTGAGCTCGTTCCGAGCTCATCGTGGATTAGTCATGTTCAACTAGAATAGGGATACCAAGTAAAATCTCGTGTTATCAATTCCGCAATTTAGATTTCTTCATGGTATCAGAGCTGTGATTCGAATCCAGCGTTCTTGATTGTTCAACATGGGCGATGATAAGGAGAAGCAGGTCGCGAATTCGGGTTCAACATCAACTGTCCTCGTCAAGGATGGACCAAATCCGTCATCTCCTTATTATCTCCATCCCTCCGATAAGCCAGGCCAGGTCTTCGTCGCCGAGCTGCTCACGGAGCTGAATTATGGAGAGTGGGCAGCTGATATGCGTACAACACTTTTGGCGAAGAAACCTTCGTCAACGGTACTCTTCCTCGACCAGCAACTGGCTGGCAACTTGAAGCTTGGGATAGATGCGATGCAATGCAATGGTAGTTGGATGGCTAAAAAATTCCATGAGCAGAAACGTTCGTGTCAGTGTTCGGTATGCTGAAACCGCTCAACAAATCTGGACGGACTTGAATGAGCGCTTTGGAACAGGGAACCTGCCCCGTCTCTATCAACTTCGACGGACCATTGCCTTGCTGCATCAAGAGAAGGCTAGCGTCTCGAGCTTCTTCACAAAGTTGCGTAGTCTTTGGGATGAAATACAAGCAATTGCCCTGCCTCCAAAGTGCACTTGCGGAGGCTGTACCTGTGAGATTGAGAAGAGAACGCGAGACACACAGGATAGCGGGCATCTGTTTGACTTTCTCATTGGCCTAGATGATGTTTTCACTACGGTCAGAACTCAAGTTCTTTCAATGAAGCCTGCACCCACTCTTGGCAGGCTTTTCAGATGGTGATCAACGATGAACAGCAAAGAAGCATCACCAACACTCGTCGTCCAGTAATTGAGGCCACGGCTTTGCAGGTGCATGGCGATCAGCATTCTGCCACTCAGGGGGAGCGTCTTGCCTAGTCCGATCGCACTGCTGAAGGCCACCCGTGTTGCACCCAATGCCAGAAAATTGGTCATTTAAAGGAGTTGTGCTATGAAATCATAGGATGGCCATCTCAGGAATCTGGACGAGGAGGCAGGGGTCGCCGGGGTAGAGGTCGCGGAGGACGATAAGGGAATCCGCGAGCAGCACAAGTCGAGTCTGCCGAAGGAACTCTTTTGGGTCTCACCGTAGCTCAAATCACTACTCAGTTCCGAACCTGCAGCTAGTCCGGTGTACAACATGGCTGGTAATATTCTTGTTGATCGTCGTACTTGAGTTATAGATTCTGATTGCAATGAACATATAGTTACCGATCCTTCCTTGTTGCTTGGTGAGTTGGAATTCGGTGAGAATTTACAGGTACTAATCCCGAATGGAAAAGGAGTTCCGGTCAAGGGGATTGGAAAGGAAAATTTGGGAAATGACCTTATTCTTAATCGTGTGTTGCATGTCCCCGGTTTTCAATGCAAATTATTACCAGTTAGTCGTCTTACCGCTGATCTACCGATCGCCTTCATCTTTGTCGAGAATTTATGTATCCTTCAGGACTTACGCTCCATGAAGCTGATTAGGATGAGTAGGCAGGTTGACGGTCTGTATCACCTGCAGTTGTTGAATCAGTAGCACCCAGTAGCACTATCGGCTAATCATGCGGTACAGGAGACAGCAAAGTGGCACTCACGGCTTGGGCACCCGTCATCGGCAAAGTTGTCACTTTTAGAGCCTTTTATTTCTAGCACCATTAATTTGAATAAGGACCCGTGTGTTTCTTGTCTTCGTGCAAAACATAGTTGACTTCCATTTTCGGCCAGTTCTATCAAGACTACATCATGTTTTGAATTGATCCATGTTGATGTTTGGGGTCCTTATAAACATGCTTCTTTTACTGGTGCACATTATTTCCTCACAATTGTCGATGACTACAGCCGTTGTGTGTGGGTATATCTAATGCGTTTTAAGTCGGAGGTTTCTCGATATCTGCTTTTATTCTGCAAGCATGTCACTGCTCAATATCAGCGGCAGGTACGCCGAATTCAGGCTGATAATGGTCCAGAGTTCAATACAACTGCTCTTCGTGACTATTATGAAGAAGTAGGAGTCATATTGCAAACCTCTTGCACCGACACGCCTCAACAGAATGGTGTGGTTGAGCGAAAGCACCGACACCTCCTTGACACTGCTCGGGCATTAATGTTTCGTGCAGGATTACCAACTCGGTTTTGGGGAGAGAGTATACTGACGGCAGCCTACCTCATAAATTGGTTGCCACTCGTCACAATTGACAACTAGTCACCATACGAAAGACTTCTGGGATAGCCGCCGAAGTACTCCCACCTTCGCAGTTTTGGGTGCTTGGTTTATGCCAAGAATACGCATCCCTTGCGAAAATTTGATGAACGCAGTATAGCAGGAATCTTCCTAGCTATCCCGCAACCCAACGTGGATATCGTGTGTATGATTTACACACCAAAATCATTTATACGTCACGAGATTGTGTTTTTCTGGAAGAAGTCTACCCCTATCGTGATATACTCCATGGTTCATCACCTCACGTGCCCATGCATGCAACGTGTAGCAGTCCCTTGGATGATGTACCTCCTGTTACATTTTCACAAGAGGAGCCTCCCTCCTCATCTCAGCCTTCACAAGAAATGTCAACAAGTGAAGCACCTCCCCAGGAGGACATTTCACCCACGTCCCAGCCTGATATTCTGGGCGAAACCTCCACGTCTCCCGCACTGCAGCCCGTCGAATCACATGATCCTCATTCGGCCGCTCCAAGTCCATCTTTGCAGCAGCCTCCTCGAAAAAGCTAGCGCAACACAGAAGGACAGCTCCCTGCCCGATATGCTGGTTTTGACGTGGAGCTTCTCTCGTCCTCTTCTGCTGATGTTCGGTTCCCCATCAACAATTATGTGAGCTATCATCGATTGTCATCCTCACATAAGGCATACTTGAGCAAGATCTCATGTGAAGCCGAGCCCCAGTACTTCTATCAAGCGGTTAAACATGAACATTGGCGCCTGCCCATGAGGGTTGAGATTTCGGCACTCGAAGCTAATCATACTTGGAGCTTGGTTTATCTTCCACCTGGTAAGAAAGCGATTGCTTCGAAAAGAGTTTATAAAATCAAATATAAACTCGGCGGTTCAATGGAAAGGTATAAGGCTCGACTCGTCGCCAAGGGTTTTACACAAGTTGAAGGGATTGACTATCATGATACTTTCATTCCTGTTGCGAAGTTAGTCACTGTTCGTTGTCTCATTGCGGTTGTTGTCAGTCAGGGGTGGTTTCTACACCAACTCGATGTTAACAATGCATTTCTCCATGGAGATTTGCAAAAAGAGGTATACATGGAAATTCCCCAGGGTTTCGCCGCGCCTGGTGATAGGCGAGTATGTCGTCTTCACAAGTCTATCTACGATCTTCGTCAGGCATCACGAAATTGGTATCTGAAATTCTCGACAGCACTTCTTGAGCTTGGTTTTCGCGAGAGTCATGCCGATCATTCTCTCTTTATCTATAGTCAAGGTACAATTATTGTTTTCGCCTTAATATATGATGCTGACGTTGTTTTGGCAGGGAACAATATGACATTTATTCAGACTGTTAAGACATTCTTACATAATCGATTCACAATCAAAGATTTGGTCCCCCTAAAGTACTTTCTCGGTATCGAAGTCGCGCGGTCGCCAAAAGGCGGCGTTCTTAACCAACGCAAGTATGTTCTCTATATCCTTGCAGATTCGGGTCTTCAGGCTAGTCGCCCATGTCACTCACCGGTTGAGCAAAATCATCAGCTTGGTCGTTCTTAGTCTCTTCTTGATGAGAATCCTTCCGCCTTCCGTAAACTGGTCAGTCGCTTGCTGTATCTCACAGTCACTCGGCCTGACATCGCCTATTCTGTTAACTTGTTAAGTCAGGCTGTGCATTCGCCGACTGAGGCCCATGTCGCTGCTGCCACCCGCATCATGCGCTACCTCAAGCAATCCCCAGGTCATGGTTTGTTTTATCTGGCTAATGGTTCTCTTGACCTGGTTGCCTTTTGTGATGCAGATTGGGGTGGATGCCCCACTACTCGTCGTTCTACCACCAGTTTCTGCATTCATCTTGGGAACGCACCCATTTCTTGGCGCACGAAGAAGCAGTCAGTTGTTGCTCGTTCTTCGGCAGAGGTAGAGTATCGGTCCATGGCTAGTACCGTCAGTGAAATTCTATGGCTTCACTGGTTACTCACTGATCTGGGAGTTCCCCAGCTGCGACCCACATCATTGTACTGCGACAATCAATCAGCTCTTCACATTGCTGCTAATCCGGTGTTCCATGAGCGCACCAAGCATGTAGAAATGGATTGATATTTCGTTCGCGAACGTGTTTTATCACGTGAAGTGGCTCCTCTGAAGATTGAAACTCAAGAACAGCCTGCAGACCTGTTCACTAAAGGTCTTAGTGTGGATCATTTCTTGCACCTTCGTTCCAAGCTTGGCATGCTTGACATTCACGCCTTCGTTTGAGGGGGAGTGTTGAGGTTACTTGTTTCTCAGTCCCCAAGTAACCGAGTCATTGTTGGACTTTAATTAAGAGTCATAGTTGTATTGGGTCTTGAGTTTGCCAACAAGATAGGCACTCGGTCGTCTTTAGGATTTGCCCTAAGCTAGTCATTATATAAGCTTAGTTACGGATCATTGTTGCAAGCAAGCTAGGAAAGAAACAAATCATCAATAATATCATCAACTAGAACAGGGATACCACGTAAAATCTCGTGTTATCAATTCCGCAATTTAGATTTCTTCAAGGGGGAATCAGGGGAAGCCTAGAGTTTGGTGTTCACGGGGTCTCGAAATTCATCGATGGCGATGGCTGATTGAGATGGGCGCGAATTAGAGGGGAAGACTCTGTGGTTGGTGGCTGTGGTCAGGTGCGACAGGCGGAGGCAGAGGGTAAGATTGAAACATCCCCCCTCTTTGAATTTGGAAAAAGACATTTCTACCCCGAGGTATAGTTAAAAATCTCAAATAACACAAGTTTAAATAAAATACCAAACTCAAATATCTCAATATCTCAAATCGGATCCCTAAACACGTGGGCAAAACTCAAATTGTCCAAAGGAAATGAATCTCCAATCCTTAACTCTTAACCATAAAGTCTTAATAACTGGAAAAAGTTCTCTGATGCTTACTCTGACGCCTGGCTCGACATCTCTCAGCGACGATGGTGTTGAGTGCCTCTAGCTTGCTGCTCACGGACTGGCTGGTTAAGATTTCCTCCTCTACGATCTGGTGAGTGAGTTGGGGTCAGTCTACGCCCTTACAATAAATTCTATAGTACTTTAGTATTCTTCTCTAAACACTTAACTTCTACTAGTGGAAGTTGTTTTGTACTTCCACTCTTAACACTTATAACTCAAAAAATTCTTCGGGAGTTAAAGCTCCTTTCTCAAAGCTCAAAACTTGACTTAAATCTTTTGACTGACGCTGGGATCCCTCACTAGCTAGTCTGGTTGCCAACTCATACGTATGAGAAGCCATCCAGGCTTTCCTTAAACTTAAACTTAGTTAGGGAAGTCGTAACGATTCATCCCCCTAACATCTTAAACTTATCGTGGTGGCTCTTCACCACGATTCTCAAGGGAATAACTGCTGCCCATCTTAAAAAAATCTCAAGAGCATAACTGCTGCTCTATCTCAAACTGTCTCAAAAGGGCAACGGACTGGCGCTAGTGACTAAAAACACTTAAAATGACTTCACCTTCTTGAAGGTGAGTTACTTCTTTAAAGAGAACTTGTTTCTTAACTTCAACAATAACTTATAAACATAAAGCTTAAATTTAAATAAGAACTCATGCACATTCACATCAAGCATAGCTCAAACAAAATCACATATCATCAACCATAAGCACAACCAAACAACGACATTCACTTCATCAAAATAATCAAGACTTGTAAATTCTTGAAAGAACACGTAAGGCGTAGTATTTACCCCCTTTACACTCACCTTATGAAGCTGACTCCTCGATTCTTTACTCGAAGAAATCCCTCCTAGTCGAATTATCTCGGTGAACCTATTAATAAGAAAGTCATCTCCTTAGTAGACCTTTCTCGATTTAGAAATCCCTTTTGGGTCATTAGAACATCCTCTCCTCGACATCCAGCCCTCGAGACTCGCTCCCAAGGTCTCTTAACCCCCTTTAAAAATTTTCTAAAAACAATCCCTTCAAAACCGATCACTTTTCCTAATTATTTTAGTCTTGGACGAATTTTCCACCTAACTTGAGCCTCCTTAAAAATTCGGATAATAATTTTACTACAACAATCATGAATCCTTATACCCTGGAAAATTTTCAAACCCTTATAAACTCCTCGGAATTAATTTTATTTATTTAAAACGAATGTTCAAACAATTTCTAAAATTATAAAAACATCTTCCAAAATTCCCAAATTAATTTACAGTCATCTCCTAGATCTTCCTCAATTTATAAAAATTTTAAACGCAAGAACAAACCCTTTCAGGAACTCGAAACAATTTAAACCATCCAAAACCAATTTTCTGAAAATTCCCAGCAGCTATAGTGACCACCCAAACTCTGTCACTAAAGGCCTGATCGCCTGTTGCTAAAACCACAGAATTGCACCCTCAAGAAAAACACCAAATCGATCGATCTAACTCAACGGGATCGAGTTCCCTTAGCTCTAGGAGGTGCCTAGGCCTAGATTGGCTGATCCGGGACGTTGATCTCCTCGTTGATCGAACCCTCAACGTCACCGCTAATAAATACCGATCTTCGAATTAATCTAACGATAAATCGCGTATAAAAATCTCGAAAGGGGGTTCATGATCCTTACCTAGAACACGAGAGGGATGGGATCGGGATCAGTGCCTGAGACAACTCCTTTCTCTCTTCCTTTCGTCCACGTGGCTGGGGATTGCACGGTGCGCTATTCTTTTCCCGGGCAGCTATTGGCGAGGGCGGCGGTTTTATGCTGGGGAAAAGGAACACTAGCGGCGCTTTGAGGAAGGTAACAGGAGGCGGGGGTTTTCGTTTTGCTCTCTAGGAAATGCTCGAATGGAGGAAGAAAATTGCTGGGGAATATTAAGGAGGCCGAGGGTTATTGGGGACTTTAAGGCCGAGGGTTCTTGGAACTTTAAGTGGGAGGGGCCGCTCGGCCCCAGCTCCGGGTTATAATATATATTTTTTTTTACAATAATAATAATTATTATTATTATTATTACGACTAATCTGCAATTGAAATTTTTAGTACGCAACTGTCAACCCAACCGATCACGTATTATGGTCGAACCATAACCCGAAATTCTGGGTGTTACATTTCCTCCACCCTTATAAAAATTTCGTCCCCGAAATTTGAACGGTAGATCAACCACTTGAACGATTTAACGCTGTCTTCGAAGGGACGATGCTAGTTGGGATATAACATATTTCCCTCTCCCTTAAGAAATTTCGACCTCGAAATTGTAGGTTGAACTGGGTTGCTAGCAATCGTAAATCCGGCCTGAACCCCCGGGTCTTATTATTGAAAAATCGAGAAATGAGAACTAAAAAGAGTACTAAAAATGAGAGTACACAGAAGTTCGCCCACTACCAATCTAAACATCAACAAACAACTCTGGGTTCTTCTCTCTCATGCTACTCTCTGTCTCCCAAGTCGCAGCCTCGCTGCCCTGGTTTCTCCATACCACCTTTACCATGGCAATCTTCTTCCTCCTCAACTCCTTTTCCTGCCTATCCACAATCTGGATTGGAACCTCCTCATAGGTCAAGTCATCTTCCAACTGAATGTCCTCATGTCTGATCACATGC